GTACTGACACGAAATAAATTGTGCAAGAAACCAGATTTTGAAAGGCAAATATTACGTACCAATGTAAGTGTTTTGGTGTTAAATAACCTGTTAAAATAACAAAGTATTAAGCAAAAAAAAATTCTTAATATTTTAGTAACTTCCGCTCGCAGTGTGTGACGAATCAGCAGATGGTGAATTTCACTCTACACTTACTTAAACCAGTGTCATTGAGAAACATGGCCGCTTCCGGTGGTGCTGCAAGCCCTGCTGCCTCGGACTCAGCTGGTTCTGGTATGGAAAGTCCAACCATTCAGTACAGCATGGTTCTGGACCATCTAATAGGCAATAAAAGGCCAGTAAAAGACCTGAGCCCAGCTGTTATGGGGGGTCTACCGATGCCTATGAAAAGCGACGAGCAGAAAATGATAGAGAGAGGAATGGAGAGCTGCGCCTTCAAGTCTCTTTTGGCCTGTGTAGGAGGTAACCACTTAAACACAGCAAGTCTGCCTATTCAAGATATTATGATTTTCACTATTTGTATTGTCTTCTCGAGTATGGCCTTTTTTGCTGTTTAAATTGTTAACATTTACTCAATTAAAAGCAGCAATAAAGCTGTTTGTATGTTGTTTTGTTCTTGATGTTTTGACATCAGTAAATGTAGTGGTTTGTTCCTTTACATTTCTTGATGCTTTACCTTTCTCCAGGGTTTGTCCTCGGAGGAGCGTTTGGTGTTTTCACAGCTGGTATCGATACCAATGTTGGCTTCGACCCCAAAGATCCACTCAGAACTCCAACAGCTCGAGAAGTCCTTAAAGACATGGGTCAGAGGGGGATGTCTTATGCCAAGAACTTTGCTATCGTAGGCGCCATGTTCTCCTGCACAGAGTGCATCATCGAATCAGTAAGTAACACACTTTTATGTGGGACTGTCCTTAGCGAAATGGCACACATGTAGGCTGTTTAGCTCAATACAAAAAGATAAACTAAACATTAAAGTTTTCTCAATACAACACTAAACAAACACTATAAAATCTGGTCCAAAAAAAAAAAACTCAGAATGTTTTGGTCTTAGTTTTCTAACACAAACTGTTGCAAAAACAGCTGCAACTCTTTTTGTAAGGTGTTGCTTTTGTCGAAGTCATGATATAGTTAAAAAACTGAAACAATTTTGTTTCACTAATGCATGGGTCTGCAAACTTTATGATCAAAAGAGCCATTTCTGCTCTTTGGCTCACTGATAAAATGTGTCCAGAGCCACAAAACCGTCTACAACTGTGGTTATCAACTGGTGGTCCATGGGCTTCTTCGAGTTTGTTAAAAGGGAACCTTTATGGGCAGAGGAGGTGACATCGTATAACTAAAAATATATTGTGAATTTTAACATTTATTATTATTTTTACACTTCAGGGCAAAAGATAAAACATATTAATGTAAACAAGAAAAATATTATATATAATACAACAGGCTAGCATGACCTAATCAACATGTTTTACATTTTGTATTAGTATTGATCACATATTTGCATACAAATTGATTTTTGTGGTGAGTTTAACAAACAAGTTCTGTTATATTTGGTCACATTTTCAAAAGAGCCACTGCAGAGGGACCAAAGAGCCACAAGTTGCAGACCCCTGCACTAATGCAATGAGTGCATACCCATGAGAATTGAAATTGTATGACAGACTTTGTGACACTGAGAAACATTGCACACATAGATACTATATTGTATTGTGTTAAAGCTTGTGATTTACACCATTACATCACTTTAACCTCCTCAGAGAAACCTTCTGGCGCCCTCTGCAGCTGAAAATTACTWATTAGATCTTTGTGTGTAACTCTTACAGCTACTTTGTTCTTGAAATGTTTGCTTTACCTCAAGTGAACAAATACTTAATTTCATTTTTTATTGTTTCTGTTAATTGCAGCACAGAGGCGTGTCTGACTGGAAGAATGCAGTGTACAGTGGGTGTGTCACTGGAGGAGCCATAGGTTTTCGTGGTATGTYACTTTTTTCCAACTCRGTTCCATTCAGTTTATTTATATGGCTGCAGTTCACAATAAAAATCGTCTCAGGGCAGTGTACACAAAGCAAACGGGTCTAGTTTATAATACATTTTATGCATTTTTATTCAGTCCAAACAGGACGATTTAGATGTGCACATTTCTTTCAATCCAGTTGTAATACAACAAAATCAATTCAGTCATTTGTAAGATGCCACTTAGTTATAAGTTCTCTATCTAWAGAAACGAATGGATTGCAGTAAATCTTTATTTTAGTTAAGCACAAGGYGGAAGCCCAGGATTAATCTAGCAGAACCAGGCTCAGGATGGGCGACCATCGACTGGATGGGGCTGAGCTGATCGGAAAGAAACACAAATACTGAAACAGTAGGCCAGGAATCATTTCTGTGGAGACTAAAGACAGAGAGAAGACGAAATGAACAGCTGAAGTAATTGCAAATGGAAACACGAAGAATAGAGTAAAGACATCAGAGAGAGGACATATGGTCAGTGTGTCTTCCAGCAGTCTMAGCCTATAACATYATAAATAAAGGCTCGTTCAGGAAACCAAGACTGTAGCAGAAAAGAGAACCATTTTAAGTCCTGTCAAAAAGAGTATTCCTCTCATTCTTTTTGTGCTTGTTTTTTTTTCAGCTGGTCTGAAAGCTGGGGTTCTTGGATGTGGAGGTTTTGCTGCCTTCTCCGCCGCCATCGAGTATTATTTACGATGAAGTACTACGGAGGGACTTTAAGAACAAATACATGGTTTCACATGTGGACTTGTCATGTGAGAAACCCCGTGTACAGAAAGGACAGACAGTGCATCTCTATACTTTGTTGTTTTTGTTTTTTTTTTTATGTGAAACTGCAGATCTTGAGTTGTGTGGCTCAGCTTTGGTGTAAAAGTGCTGGGATGAAAGAACAGCAAATAAAAAGTCACCTGTTTTTCTCCACTGTTCTGTTATAGAGTAGTGGTAGGATTTTTCAGGCTATAGTTCTCTGAACTTTTAGACATTACAACAGTTATTTCTCTTTTGCCCTGACAGCTTTTAGGTTTTATTTTTGTGATTGTCCTGTTTACCATTTCACTGTTCTTACATCACAGACTGTCCTTTGTGGACACATGCACTGCTAAGACCGGGTGTTATACTGTTAATGTGCATTTTCAAGCTTCAACACACATTTACACATCTTAACCAGGCAAATGCCACTGAGATCGCAGATCTGTTTTGAAAGGGCGGCCTGGGTCTGAAGGCAACCTATTGTACATGAGTTTGAGTTCTGAGTAGAACTTCATTGCATCTGTGGAATCCTCTGAATTTGATTTAAAAATTGTTATTGTTCTAAAATGGTATTGAAAATTGAAAAGCTAAAAAAAGCAGATGTTAGCATGAGGACAGGTGCAGCACCTGTAAGCAGTGAGGGTGCTAAGAGKGGGAGGCCTGTCACAGCTGCTGTAAGTTCACACACAGAATCAGGGGCGCTGCCTTTGGTCAAAACCTGCTGGTCCCGGACCATGGAGTGTCTGAACACCTTCCTCATGTTTATGTCCTAAAKGACAGCTTTTACTTTTGTTCTGTTACACACAAAACATAAAACTTCTTTACTTTAAGATTAATCAGATTAATCATCCTGTTTCAGATATGAGCAGAACTCATCATGAAAAGACAGGTTATGCACAAAAAAGGAAGTGTTGAGTTCTGACAACTGGTTCTGCTAAACAAAAACTTACTCCACTTCTGTCACACCATGACGTTTTAAATGGAGAGCCGTTTCATTCAAAATACAATAAATAATGCAATAAATAACGTAATTAATAAAGTATTAATAAATATTCCATCAAATACATAAATGTCATCATGAAAAATAAACTAAATTTATTTATTTATTACATATTGTAGTTTTATTTTGTAA